GCATGGCCATGACCTTGTCCCTCACAGATGCTGGTGGAGCAGAAGGGCCAGCTTCTGGCCATGCGATTATCAGTGCGGAATCATCACCAGAGACACCTGCCAAAAGGACTGAGGCTCCTGAAATCAGCCCCACCATGGATCTGCATGTTCTGCCTCCCAGGGGTGGTCACTCTTCTCCACCAGCCATGGCTAACCCAAGCCCAGCACCGGCCACAGCCAGTCCTCTCCGCAGTGCCACCACCAGCAAGACACCCCAGCCACCCCCCAAAAATGCAGCCGTGGAGGGAGGCAGGGACAAGTCCCAGCTGAAAGAAGATGGCAGCACCATGCAGGCAGTTCTAGACTCAACCCCGGCTGAAAATACAAGGGTGGGTGCTGTGGTAGGCACCCCTCTCAGTGGCAGCACCACCCTAGAGACTGCCCTGCTGGAATCACCCTCTGCCACAGCCCATGCTGCTGCTTGGGACCACAGCTATCATACTGCTGGGCCCACCATGGGCCTGGACATGGGCATGGACTTGGACATGGACACAGCTTCTGCCATCACAAGGAACAGGGCTATGGGGCTGCCTCTGTGGTTGCCCACTCTGATGGCTGGGGTGGCTGAGCCAGGCACTGGTGATGCCACCTTGTTGGCACATTTTGGCCCAGGCAGCAAAAGCCCTACAGCAGTGGCCATCATGGGCACAGTGTCACTTACAGCTCCAGAGCTGGTTCCTGGTCTCACTCACAGTCCTGCTGCGCCAGAGGTCAGTGTGTCATCTCCTGTCCCCAGGAGCACCCATCCAGTTGTGGTAGCACCCTCCGTCACACCCAGCATCACCATCACTCATCCAGCATCAGGAGCAGGTGATGCTAGGCTGGAAAGGATCACGACAACACTCCCTTTGGCTGTCCCCAGCGGTACCTCCACTGTCACCCCAAGGCCATTCCATGAGGCCACCAACAGTAGACAAGACCCAGCCTTGAAAGCTCACAGTCCAGTCACTGAGGATGAGCCCATAGCTGCGGGCTCCTCACTGGCTGTTGGCCTCACACACGTGTGGGAGACTGCAGCTGCATCCCGGACAGGTGCTGGGGTTACCACTGCTCAGGCGGACACCACCCCTTCGGAGAGCGGTGCCAAGGGTGCAGCACCCTCAGCCAGCACCGACAGCACCTATGGGCCTGTTTCCAATAGTGGTGGCACAAGCCCAGCCACAACACCAGCTGCCAGCATGTTCTCTAGCAACAGCATCCTACACAGCACCTCAGCCAGATGGGAGAACTCCGTGATGACTGGGACCACTGCAACCGTGGTATCTGCCACAGCAAAGGCCACCACCACCAGCAGAGCATTGTCCCTCGCTGTAATGCATATGAAGGGAGGTGGAGGTGGGCAACCTGTCCTACACCCAGCAGCACGCAGTCCCGTGGTGGACATAGTTGAAAGGACCTGGGGAGTGCTCAGTACCAGCCCTGCCATCATGGTGCCTGGTTCATTCCACTCAAGCCCGCACATACCAGCAGGGGAGCCAGCAACAGTACCGTCATCTCTGCTTGGATTTCATGCAAGTGGGGAGGCAAGAGCCAGAGAGATTCTCTCAGAGCCGGAAACAGGCAGCACTTTGCCCGGAGCTGTCAGCAACCATACCATGAGACAGGCAGCGAGCACATTAACTCCTGCTGTCTGGACATCAACTTCGGTATCTGCCTGGGGGAAGAAAACAACCGTGACTTCAGAAAGACAGAGAGCCATCACTGCAAAGAGCAAAACAGACATCAATGCGGGGAGCATGACATCCACCACTGCAGACAGACCCACAGACATCACTGCAGACACAACCACAGCCATGACTACAGACAGCACCACAGCCATGAGTATAGACAGAACCACAGTCATCACTGCAAACAGACCCACAGCCATCACTGCAGACACAACCACAGCCATCACTGCAGAAGCAACCACAGCCATTACTGCAGACACAACCACAGCCACCACTGCAGACACAACCACAGCCATCACTGCAGGCACAACCACAGCCATCACTGCAGACACAACCACAGCCACCACTGCAGACACAACCACAGCCATCACTGCAGACACAACCACAGCCACCAGTGCAGACGCAACCACAGCCATCACTGCAGACACAACCACAGCCACCAGTGCAGACACAACCACAGCCACCACTGCAGACACAACCACAGCCATCACTGCAGACAGCCACAGCCATCACTGCAGACACGATCACAGCCACCACTGCAGAAACAAGCACAGCCATCACTGCAGACACAACCACAGCCACCAGTGCAGACACAACCACAGCCATCACTGCAGACACAACCACAGCCCTCACTGCAGACACAACCACAGCCATCACTGCAGACACAAATACAGCCATCACTGCAGACACAACCACAGCCATCACTGCAGACACAGCCACAGCCACCACTGCAGACGCAACCACAGCCATCACTGCAGACACAACCACAGCCACCACTGCAGACACAACCACAGCCATCACTGCAGACACAACCACAGGCACCACTGCAGAAACAAGCACAGCCATCACTGAAGAAACAACCACAGCAATCACTGCAGACACAACCACAGCCACCAGTGCAGACACAACCACAGCCATCACTGCAGACACAACCACAGCCATCACTGCAGACACAACCACAGCCACCACTGCAGACACAACCACAGCCATCACTGCAGACACAACCACAGCCATCACTGCAGACACAACCACAGGCACCACTGCAGAAACAAGCACAGCCATCACTGCAGACACAACCACAGGCAGCACTGCAGAAACAAGCACAGCCATCACTGCAGTCACAACCACAGGCACCACTGCAGACACAACCACAGCATTGACTGCAGACACAGCCACATCGAACACTGCAGACAGACTCACAGCGATCACTGCAGAAGCAACCACAGCCATCACTGCAGACACAACCACAGCCACCAGTGCAGACACAACCACAGCCACCAGTGCAGACACAACCACAGCCATCACTGCAGACACAACCACAGCCACCACTGCAGACTCAGCCACAGCGAATACTGCAGACAGACTCACAGCCATCACTGCATACGCAACCACAGCCACCACTGCAGATGCATTCACAGCCACCACTGCAGACACAACCACAGCCACCACTGCAGACACAACCACAGCCATCACTGCAGAAACAACGACAGCCATCACTGCAGGCACAACCACAGCCATCACTGCAGACACGATCGCAGCCACCACTGCAGACACAAGCACAGCCATGATGGCAGACACAACAACAGCCACCACTGCAGACAGTCCCACAGCCATCACTGCAGACACAACCACAGCCACCATTGCAGACACAAACATAGCCATCACTGAAGACAGACTCACAGCCATCACTGCATATGCAACCACAGCCATCACTGCAGAAAAAACCACAGCCACCACTGCAGAAACAACCACAGCCATCACTGAAGACAGACCCACAGCCACCAGTGCAGACACAAGCACAGCCATCACTGCAGAAACAACCACAGCCATCACTGAAGACAGACTCATAGCCATCACTGCATACGGAACCACAGCCATCACTGCAGACACAACCACAGCCATGACTACAGACACAACTACAGCCATCACTGCAGACACAACCGCAGCCATCACTGCAGACACAACCACAGCCATCACTGCAGACACAACCACAGCCATCACTGCAGACACAACCACAGCCATCACTGCAGACACAACCACAGCCATCACTGCAGACACAACCACAGCCACCACTGCAGACACAGCCTCAGCGAACACTGCAGACAGACTCACAGCGATCACTGCATACGCAACCACAGCCATCACTGCAGAAACAACCACAGCCATCACTGCAGACACAACCACAGCCACCACTGCAGACACAACCACAGCCATCACTGCAGACACAACCACAGCCCTCACTGCAGGCACAAGCACAGCCATCACTGCAGGCACAACCACAGCCATCACTGCAGACACGATCACAGCCACCACTGCAGAAACAAGCACAACCATCACTGCAGACAGACCCACAGCCACCAGTGCAGACACAACCACAGCCATGACTGCAGACACAAATACAGCCATCACTGAAGAAACAACCACAGCCACCACTGCAGACACAACCACAGCCACCACTGCAGACACAACCACAGCCATGACTGCAGAGAGACCCACAGCCATGACTACAGACACAACCACAGTCTTCACTGAAGACAGACCTGCAGCCACTACTGCAGACACAACCATCACTGCCGACAGACTCACAGCCATCACTGCAGACACAACCACAGCCATCACTACAGACACAACCACAGCCATGATGTCAGACACAAATACAGCCACCACTGCAGAAACAACCACAGCCACCAGTGCAGACACAACCACAGCCATAACTGCAGAGCGACCCACAGCCATGACTACAGACACAACCACTGTCTTCACTGAAGACAGACCTGCAGCCACTACTGCAGACACAACCGTCACTGCCGACAGACTCACAGCCATCACTGCAGATACAACCACAGCCATCACTGCAGACACAACCACAGCCATCACTGCAGAAACAACCACAGCCACCACTGCAGACACAACCACAGCCACCACTGCAGACATAACCACAGCCATCACTGCAGACACAACCACAGCCAGCACTGCAGAAACAACCACAGCCAGCACTGCAGACACAACCACAGCCATCACTGCAGACACAACCACAGCCACCACTGCAGACACAACCACAGCCACCACTGCAGACACAACCACAGCCATCCCTGCAGACACAACCACAGGCAGCACTGCAGAAACAACCTCAGCCACCACTGCCGGCACAACCACAGCCATCCCTGCAGGCAAAACCACAGCCACCAGTGCAGACGGACCCACTGCCATGACTACAGACACAACCACAGCCACCAGTGCAGACACAACCACAGCCATCACTGCAGATACAACCACAGGCAGCACTGCAGAAACAAGCACAGCCATCACTGAAGACAGACCCACAGCCATGATTGCAGACACAACCACAGCCACCAGTGCAGACACAACCACAGCCATGACTGCAGACACAGCCACAGCCATCACTGCAGACAGAACCACAGCCATCACTGCAGACACAACCACAGGCACCACAGCAGACAGAACCACAGCCACCAGTGCAGACACAACCACAGCCATGACTTCAGACACAAGCACAGCCATGACTGCAGAAACAACCACAGCCACCACTGCAGACACAATCACTGCCATGACTGCAGACACAACCACAGCCACCACTGCAGACACATCCACAGCTATCACTGCAGACACAGCCACTACTGCAGACAGATTTAAAACCATCCCTGCAGGGAGCATTGCAGCGGTTGCGCCTGAATTCTCAGTGAGTCCAGCCAAGGAGGCAGGAGATGTCCTCCCTGCAGGCTCTACCATTTCTCTGAAACCAGCTGTTACCTCCAGACCTACCACTGCCCCAGCTCCTGCCTTTGGGACACAGAAGGGACTGGCCACAACATCAAGCACATCCTCCGACTCCACCACTGTTCACAGAAATCCTGCCCCTGAACTCGCACTCACCAGTGGGATTACAAGTAAGTAGATTTTCTTCATCCTAAAGCATAGAGCAGGAAGGGGTTAATCAGCTGTTGAAGCATCGTGATGTCTGAGGGTACCTATGGCCAAGCCTGGGGCAGTTCATCCACAATGCATGTTAATCTGCGAGGTTCATGATGAAAGATGAAATAAGACTTCTGGGAGCCTGTTCCAGGTTGAAAACTGGTTTGAAAGTTGGGTTACACTGTCCAAGCAGTGGTCTGTCCAGGAGTAGCACATGTGCAGCATCCAGGCAGCAAGCAGGTGAGTGTGCGCCGGCCAGAGGAAAGATGGAGCAGACATTAACAGTTTTTCTCCTTTCCATCTCAGTGCCGGCAGCCTTGCTCTACCCCTTCGGCGCAAAGGAAGGGGACCAGGAGTGTGTCCAGAGGACAGTGGATTTTAACTCCCCCCTGTTCAAGCCAGAGATTGGGTTCCCCTTTGGGAATTCACTGCAGGATGCTCTCTACGTGAGTTCCCACCTTGCTGAGCATGTCAGGGATGTGTAGGCTCTTTGGTAGAAAAATATCCCACAGAAATGGAGCAGAAACTGAACTTCATTGAATATAATTTTTTTTCAGTTAAAAATGCCTCTTTTCAGCTCACCCATGAGGGCTAAAGGCCTCCCCAGGAGTTGCCTGGGATTCAGCAATGAACAAGTTATTCTGGTTAGTTTACAGATAATGGACAGATCATTTTCCCACCCACGGACAACTACGTCCCCTCCAATCCCAACCCACCTCCCCAGGGCTTCAGTGGCCAGGAGGGTTTGCCGATGGTGGCTGCCTTCTGGGACGACGCAGATTTCTCCCAGGGTGTCGGCACTACTTGGTACCAGGTCAGGGCAAACAAAGGTACTCTCCTGGGAGACCCCAGCTCCCAGCTTGCCCATTTTTACTCTCTCTCTTGACAACCAGGAGTACTCCACACTCAGCTCTATTCGAGACCCCCTTGTTCATGATGTGGAAGCAAAGATCAAGAAATACCTGAAAATCCCCTATGTAGCAAAATGGACCTTGAAGGTGACATGGGAGAAGGCTCCAGCATACCCATCCCAGAGGAATGACACTCGGGTGAGCAGTGTGGGACTCAGGTGACAGGGGGGACTGTCACCAGCGATGGCCAGAGCAGAGCTGGGCTGCTGGTCTCCTGTACCTTGATTCAGGTGTTTCAGGTCTCACCACTGCAGTCTGCACTGCGGGAAGAGCAGGGGAGGCTTTGGTGGTGCTAAAGGAGTGCCTTGTATCCTCCAGACGAGCACCTACCAGGCAATACTCACCACTGATGGGAACTGTTCCTTCACCCTGCTGCTGTACCAGGATGGCGGGATGCGGTGGGACTACACCAAGTTGGCTGCAGACAATGTGCTGATTGGCTTCTCCAGGTGCTATGCACATGTGTGGCTGTGTTTTGAGGGAGCAGGGATTTCTCCCAGCATTATGTTGGGACCATCTGAGACCTTACCCCAAGGAAAGCCCAGCTACCACCCCTAAAGCAACCCTGTCCCATTTAAACCCTTCTCCCATAGCAATTCCTATCCCAGCTGCTCTACAAGGAGAGGAGGAGGGTTGTGTTAGGAGGGTGACCCACAAACCTTGTGTCTCCACACAGCGGCAATGGCTATGCCCAAAACAACGAGCTGACTCAGAAGCCAGCGTCTGTCAAGTACCGACCTGACCAGCACAGCAGCACCAGCACCGGTATGACGAGGGGGGAGTCCATGAGGCAGGTCAGGATGGGGGGATCCATGCGCTCTGTGCTGGGAGCATGTTCCCGGGACTTGCCCCTGTGAGGTGATGGGCCAGCAAAGCCACTGAGCCAGGGCTGGCCACTGAGAGCAGAACATGGGTGTCCTGTGTCCTGCTGTGGCTTGCTACAGCCAAGCCAGCTCTAGAGGGAGCCTGGAGACTTTGTGTGAGGACAATGGCCAGGGACGGTTGTCCCACGGGATCCCCCTCAGAGCAAGGTGAGATCCCAGTGGGGCGGTGCTGTTCTCTGATTGCTCCCAGATGTGCGTGGTCTGTGGATCTACAGGCTGGACAGCCGCTCTCGGGTGAACTATAGGCTGCGGTGCCTGGCGTGGCTGGACGCAGAGCCATCACCAGCCGCCTGGAACGCTCAGCTCCCACCATGCCCCTGTTCCTGGCCCCAGGCAGAGCTGGACCCCCGCTTCCGCCGCAGTGCAGGTGCCAAGCGCAGCACCCCCAGGGCCAGCCACGGGTATGTGGTCCCCTCTGCTCTGGGGTGGCCGTCATCCTCCCGCACCATTTCAGGCCCAGCAGACCCCTCCGTGAGGATGCTGCGCACTGCATGCCCCAGCCCGGCGGGAGCCGGGGTGCGGTGTCTGTACCGAGATAGGAGCTTGCTTGAAGGCTGGCAGGAGAGAGCATGGAGCCTCCTCATTCACCCCGCCACTGGTAAGTGGGCATCAGCACTGCCTTTACACTTTACACACCAAACACTGAGCGCTCTGCAAACGCAGTGGGGACCCCGACACCCCCGGCACCCAGCTGCCTTACCCCTCAGATGGGGAGCTGGAGGCATTTGACTGGTGCTGCCGGCGCGTTGGGAAGCCCCTGTTCTGTGCAAGGTTTGCTGAGAAGAGACCAAGGGTTGGCTGCGAGGGATATGTGCCACCCACCCCTGGTGAGTCCCCAGGGCTCTACCTCCTCTGTGCCAGGGTACTGGGTGGGTGACATGTCCATACACAGATCCCCTCTGGAGAGCATCCAAAGGCTGCTCTCCTCCATGAAATGGCACCATCATTTCCTGCCTGACACCAGGCTTATTTTCCTTCCCCCAAAATGGCTCCATGTCTTTTGGACCACAGCTGGTGCCTTTGGGGACCCCCACATCACCACTATGGATGGACTCACCTACACCTTCAATGGGCTTGGGGACTTTGCCCTGCTGCTGGCTAGTGATGCCCAGACCAGCTTTGTGCTGCACGGCCGCACAGTCCGGACTGGCATGGCTCAGGCCACCAATTTCGTGGCCTTTGCCGCCCAGTACATCTCCTCCACCACCACCACAACAGTGAGTAGAGGAAATCTGGGTATCAGTTTGAGCTTCTAAAGGGAATGAAGAGCACATCCAGCCCTGGTGAATGGCCCTGGCACTGAGCTTCTCTGCCAGGGCTGGAGGAGGACACAGCTTAGCTCAAGTGTCCCCACCATCGGGGGATGGCAGGAAGGGATGAGCAGAGGGGCTGACCAGGACATATGCTGTGATTTGCAGGTTGAGTGGACCCTGGGGAGCTGGGGTGATATCCAAGTCCTCCTGAACCATGAAAGCATCCAGTTCTCCTATGCCCAAGGTGAGCAGGTTGTGCTGTTAAATGTTAAAGGTATCTGCAGGAGTGATGAGTGTCTCCATCACCATTCAACCAAGGTGGATGGAGAGCATTCCCCTCCACAAATTCTGGGGCATCATTTCAGACCCCAGCCTTGCATGGACTCTCCCTCTGTGCTCTCCTTCCCTTGCAGACATGGGTGCTGAGGTGTACTACAGCCCTGGTGTCCTGCTGGTCAATGCCTCTTCTATCACAGCTGTTTTCAACGGGGCCATTGCCATCACCATCTCTGCCACCTCCAGGATCCTCAGCATGGTCTGCAGCCTTCCCGATCAATACCACAACAGCACCAAGGGCCTCCTGGGTGAGGACTTGTGGCACTGCTGCAGAGGCAGGGTGTAAAGTCCCATTCCCACCCTAAAGCAGACTAGAAAACACTGGGGGAAGAAGGGGGGAGGGTGACATATTTTGAAGGCAGGGACCCCTGAGTCTAAACTAAACACGGGTCAGCACCAGAGAGGAGGTCAACCCTGGGGAGACTTCAGTCCTCTGGTGATGCTTCACCAGGTGTGTGGGACCATGACCCCGCAGACGACTTCCAGATGCCAAATGGTACCAGCATCCCTGTGAACAGCAGTGAGGAGGAGATCTACAGCTATGGTTTGACCTGTATGTTCAGGCTTGGGATCTACCTTGATGATTCCCCTGTTCCTGTGCCTTCTGGCTACACTTTGGCTGGAGGCATTTTGACACTTGCCTGAGCAGAAGTGATGCGAGGGAAGCCCTTTGGTCTCCTCACTGCTCTGCGGAAATTATACTTAAAATACAAGAAACCTTAAAAACCCAAGGCCATACCCATGGTGTACTCTCTTGCAGGGGCTGTTGGAGGGCACAGCCTGTTTACTCAGCCTCTGGGCTTACCAGCAATGAACTTCACACCCATCTTCTTGTCTCAGCTGCGGCAGGAGGGTGAAAGCCAGTACCAGCTGGCAGCCTCACAGTGCCGTGGCAGCAAGGAGTGCATCTATGATTCACTGAGCACAGGGGACATGGCCCTGGGTCTGGCCACCCAGAGCTTCACAGCCGACTTCCAGCAGAAGAAGACAGTACTCAGTAAGTGGACTGCTAAGAGGTCATAGCTTTGGTAACTGGGCAGTGCCCTGCTCTCACACTGTCCTCTCTTGCTCCATGTGAGTCAGGAGAGAAGTCAACAAGGTCTCAGAGTTGCATTGCCTGGCTGGCTGGTCTCAAAGCCTGGGAGATGCCACCACGCTGTGCAACACAAGGGCCTCATCAGTGGGCAGTCATGGCAGCACCTGCCTGGGGTCCTGTCCTCACCACGAGGGACTCAGAGCCATGTGCCAAAGCCATGTAGCTACCAACCAGCTGTGCGCTGGACTGCTCTTTCGTCAGATGCCTTCCCTCCCATCATCACTGGTGACGCATCACTCACAGCCTTTAGGACAGAAAGGATCAGGAGGCAGTACCATGCTGTGGGGCTGGGTGCACACTTTGTCCCCCACCTCTCACCAGAGCTCAACATATCGGGTAAGGAAGGAGCAATGAGGCAGCGGGGATGGGATGGGGGGATAGTGGCCACCAGCTCACTGCCACCTCCTCTAACTCCCACCTCTCCCCTGGCAGAGAGTGGCACCTTGACGTGGGAGCCCCGTGGGACAGCCCCGCTCACCATCGACCTGGAGGCTATTGGGTCCAACAACCTCTCTGCCCTCCTCCAGCTCCACTTCACACTTTGCAGCTGCAGCAGGATCCAGGAGTGCGATTACAGCAACACTGTCACTGTGGAGGGGTCCTCCCTGCAGGTAGTGTGCTGGAAAGCCAGTGCCTCATTGTGCCTGCCCCACAGCTCTCTTCTCTGTCCATCCATCCTCTTCATGTCCCCTAAGCCAGCGTCACTGTCTCCTTCCAGTTGGCAGCCTGCAGGTGTGAGGGCGGCTACTCGGGTCCCTTCTGCCAGGACCCTCCGGACCCCTGTGCCCAGGGATGCTTCCCTGGAGTGCGCTGCGACTCCCTTGCTGGCTGCGGCCCCTGCCCAGCCGGCCTGACTGGTGACGGGCGGCACTGCTCAGGTGACAAGGGCTTGCCATGGCCCCAGGGCACCCATGGGATCCCCACCAAGGTGCTTCTCCCGGTGCCATGCTGCATTGCCTCGGCAGATATTGACGAATGCGCTCAGGGGGCAGCGTGCCCAGGGAACACCACGTGCACCAACACGGTGGGCAGCTACGCCTGCTCCTGCCCAGCTGGCGTGGAGGGTGAGTATGGGCACTGTTCTCATCCCCACTATCCCCTGGGCCTCAGAAGAGGGCTCCCATGGAGCCCAAACTGGGAGAGAGAAGGGGGAGCTAGCTGAGCTCTGTACACAAGCTCTTGCTGTCTTTAACGGAAGGGACTGGAATCCAGCCACTGCTCATACTCCTAGGCTGCAGGTCTCAGTATTCCTCTGGGAAGGGAAAATTTTCTCATGCAATTTTTCTCTTTGGGAAAAAAAAAAAAAAAAATCTCATCCCATCAAAGTTCAAATGCACATGCAGAGGTTGGGGGGCTAAAAGAAAATCTTTTTTTCTGGTGGCTGGAGGGAGGGGGGGTTGGGTGAGTGATGGTTTTCACTCCTATTCTAATGCAGTGAGCTGGGATTTCCCAAGGGCGAAAGGCTTCAGCTGGGAGGAGGAGGTGCAGGGCTTTTCCTTGAGGACCTGAATTTATACTAAAAGTCTTAATGTGTTAAAAAGAATCCCCCAAACATGAAACTTGTAAGAAGGGTGCTACAGAGCAGCTGGGGATGGCTCATGGGCTGGGGCTCTCTGCCTGCAGCCAGGCTCGTGCCTCAACCTGACCTGGGCTCCCCATCCTGCAGGGGAGGAGCCAGGCTGTGCCTCAGCCTGCGGCTCTCGCTCCTGCCCCGCGGGATACTGCAGTAATGGGGGACACTGCCACCTGCACCCCCTCACCTGCACCCCCAGCTGCGCCTGCCCCCCGGCCTTCACCGACCAGCGCTGCCTGGTGGCAGGGGGGGATTTTCGGCCGCTGCCCAGCGCAGGTGGGTGCCTGTACCCGGTGGGTGTGAGCCCCAGCCCCGCTCACGCCGGTGCAGGGATGCAGAGGCGCTGCTGTGCTTCCCCCTGGCAGGCCTGCCCCGGAGGAGCATCCGGCTGCGGGCCAGGACGCTGCGAAACGCCACTGCCGAGGAAGTCAATGGCACTGTATGTCACCAGAGGGGATGGGCTCAGGGAGGGGGATGCGCCAGCACACCAGGCAGCATGGCAACTTGGGGTGCCCATGCCTTCATGCGCTCCCCTCCTGTGAGATTCGCAGGGATCCGATGGATCCACAGGGCTGGAGGGAGGCAGCGCCAGCCATGTGATGCTGGCTACAGCCATGTGCCAGGTCCCCAGTGTGTGAATGGAAGGCCAGAGCAGCCCCTGGGGCTTGGCCACAGTGCCCCCGCTGCCCTTCAGCCTCTCCCTAATGCCCTTCCATTTCCTCCACCACAGGTCTCAGCCATCCTGGCCTCCCTGGAGGTAAAGGCTTTCCAGTGCAACACCAACATCACCCAAATGTGAGTCAGCTGTGGAGCAGCCCCATGCCCACCCCAGAGAGCCAGCAGAGCAAGGCTGGGCCTGGTGCCATGGGGTTTGGGGCACAAAGGGCAGTTCCACCCACCAGCCCTGATGCTGATAAACCCTTGGAGACACAAGCCCCATGGCGCCTTCCATCTCCTGCCTCATTCCTTCTTTACCACACACCCAATGGGGAAACTGAGGCGCAGTGAGGCTCAGTCATTCTGTGATGCAGCAACAGCTCTGCCAGCAGCGCCGTCTTTTCCCTGCAGGACAGACAGTGATGGCTTCACCTTCACGGTGGTGTCTGAGTTTGCCTATGACAGCCGTGGCACCGTCATCCAATTCCTGAATGAGGAGCTGCCGGGGGCCATCACCGGCGCCTTCAACAGACACTGGGGACAGCGGGAAGCAGGCACTCGCCTCCTCTTCCAGCACCTGCACCGGGACAACATCACTGACCTGGTGAAGTGTGAGTTGCAGGGGAGCCCAGGAGGAGCACCCTGCTGTCCCCATTGTTCTCATCACCCTGTGTGCCCCGGGGTTCATGTAACAACCACAGGGGGGCGGGTGGGCAGCAGTCCCCAGGCATGGATCCAGCTCAGGGAGGTGACGAATCCATGCCTTCCCTCCCCAGTGACAGTGGCTGAGCTGAGGCACTATTTCCCTTGCAATCTGTATGGTTACAAAGGATACCAGCTTCACTACGTGGGGACCATTGGCTTCGTCTGCATCTCCCCTTGCAAGAAGGGCTACTGCCAGCATGGTGGCCAGTGTCAGCACCTGCCCGAGGGTCCCACCTGCAGGTAGCAGCAGCTCTGGGATGTGCAAAGCCGTCTGGCACTGCTGCTTCTCCCCACACCTCTCCATCACCTCTCGTCTTTCCCTATCCACAGCTGCCTGCCCTTTTCCATGTTCTCTCCAGCCGGTGCCCAGTGTGAGCAGCTGGCCATCAGCTTCACTGCCTTCCTCAGCATCTTGCTGGTAGTCGTGGCTCTGCTCTGCCTCTCACTTGCCATCGTCTGCCTGGCCTCACACCTCTGCCACCAGCAGCGCCGCCGGCACGAGGGGTGAGCCATAGGCTGGACCATGGTGGGGGGTGCTGTGGGTGCAGCAGGGAAAGGAGTTTGGGTGTCAGCAGCAAAAGCTGGCAGAAAATCCATCTCTGGAAGACCCACCACCAGTGGAACTCATCTGGCCTGGGCAGAGGGAGCTTGCCATGGGGAAGAGGCTGGGCTGGGTGATCTTTTAGCATCTTCCTAGTCATCTGCTGCCCAGAGGTATGATAACATCAGTGGGTTGAACATTAGCTTACCTTTTTTCCCTGTGTCAGGAGAATATTTGCATTTCTTCTTCATCCCACCTAGTGCTCAATTACAGACAGGCTTTCTATTTAATGTTAATTTGAATCCCATACAAATAATTTCCACTGCTATTCATGTTGGTCTAGAAAAAGTTGGTCAGGAGCCAAGGTCAGGCAGGGGCTCTCCCAGCCTCCCCTGACATGTCATCCCCTTTCTTTTCTCCCCTCCCAGGGCCAGGGACACCTTCTGGATGCCACGGCCCTTCTCCTGTGAGTACATCCCTGCAACACCTCCTCACACCAGCTCTGCTTCACCCCAGTCTTCCTTGACCTCTGATCATCTTCCCCACTCCAGCTCTGACGATGGCAGGAGAGCAAGCAGAGCCCATCCACTGTCACCCCATGGAAAGCCTTTGGGAACTGCAGCTCCAGCCCATTGACCCCCTAGTCCAGGTATGCCCTGGGGTTATTGTCCCCATCGTGGGTCGGAATGGGGGGCTGTGGGATGGGGACAGATGTCCTAGCCTTGTGCCTCCAAGATGCTCAGGAGCCATGACTCATGCCAGAGCACCACAGATGCTTTGACTGGCATGTGTCAGTGCTGTTGAGCTCATCACAAAGAGCAGCACCAACAGAAAGTGTGGCTTGTCCCTTCTTTACAGATGAGGATCCAGAGACCCCACATCAGGCCTCCAAGCCAGCTCCCCCATCAGCCTTAGCTTGCCACTGGTCCTGCCCCAGCACCTCTGGGCTCACAGAGAAGCCAGCTGCTGCTTTCAGCCCCACCACCCGCTCTCAAGGTCTTCAGCAACAACGCCTGCATGGAGGCAGGGGACTGGCAGCTGTCCTTTGGAGCCTAGTGTTTGTGGGAGGACTCACTCTGGAGGAGGTGTTTTCATTGAATCAAAAATGTGCTATTACAGTGGGTGGCCAAAGCAAGAGGATTTTACCTTCCACTGAGGACCTTGCAGAGGCAACTGGGTTAATCCTTGAGTGTGTATGCACTGGGGTATGCTTTAGTGCAACATAACCAGACCTAGCAGAGCCACTGATATGGTCAAGTGGAACAATGCAGTGATTATAACCCATTAGGAACAAAATAGAATAAATCAACAATGATGGCATGCTGCTAAGTTGCCTGCACCCCATGGTGCCCATGCGCCAGCCCTCCTTCCTTGTCATCAAGCTCTCAAGTTCCTGCTTTCTGCTGGTTCCATTCACAGAACCAAAGACAAGATGGATGTACCTTCTTCGATTGCTCCATCCCCTCATTCTCCCTGCAGAGCTGTAAGTTTCCCCTCACTGCTCTCGCCAGGCACTACTCACAGTGGCTCAGATCATGCAGGTTGGGCTATGGTCCCCACAAATGGCCCTGCTGAGGGAAGATGCCTAAAGTGGGTGTATCAGACCCTAGTAGACGCTGGTTCCAGCCCCACATCCCTAGAGCCTGTCTTGGCCTGAGCCTGGACACTCACATCCCCAGCACCAACTCCAAGGGCAGAAGCATCCTGCAGTCCTGCTACTCCAAGCCTGCCCCCACCACTGCCTCCCATCCTGGCTCAGAAGAGGACACAGCTGCTGCAGGATAGTGATGCTCAGACCCCTCAGAGGTTTTATTGAACAAGTAAGATTGATAAGGGTTTATTATTTTTTCCTTTTTTAAGAAAGGCAGATGCTCTTCTAGGCACAAAATAATTATTTTTCTCCTAATTTCTGATCATGAGATTGCATTTTGCCCTCACATACCCAGCAAAGGTATGGGGAACAAGATAGGTCCAGCTCATGGGGTGAGCCTGGCACACCATGGCACGCAGGAGCTTGAACACAGTCAACCCATGGAAGGTGCAAAAATTCCTTCCCCAGGTGCCAAGGGTCCGACCTCCCCCGGCTGCATGGGAGGCGTGGTGGGATGCAGTGGGAGAAAGAGATGGTGTATGTGGTGAGGGGTACCTGGCCATCTTCTGCCAGCAAGGAGACGCCCATGAACACCCACTGAGCTGCAGCTGGGGAAGGGCAACTAAAGCTACTGGTTCTTGGGACAAGTCTGGGTTAGAAACATGAACTTCTGCCAGTGGAGCAGGCACTGGCCAAGTGAGCTGCCTTGTGTGGTGGGCAGGGTGATGGGTGCTGGGGATAGAGCAGGGACACAGTGGATGAGCAGGAGCAAAGGACTCAGAGGATGAGCTGTGGCTCAGACCATGCTGTCGGTGTGCAGTCCCACAGTTATTCATCCTCTCCACCTGCAAAGAAAAAGAAACGAGAATTGCTCATCCACCTCCTCCCTGAGGGCCTAAGGTAAGCTGGGAGCCCTGGAGGAGTTTCCACATGGAGGGACAGGGGCAAAGGAAAGTGGCCGGCAGAGAGGAGATCCCCAATCCCGCTCACCTCTCTGCTCCTCTGAGTAGCTCTCTGACTCCTCTGAGGAACCTGCTGGGGTTGCAATAAAGCCCCACATCAACTTACACCGATAACCACATTAGTTGCAATCCTCCTCCCCTCCCTGTGCTGTCACCCCCAGACTACACTGGTGGTTGTTTGCTAAGGGAGATGCTTCCCACAACAGCCCAGAGCACAGCACAGCCTGAATTTGGACATCCCAAAACCCATCCCTCATCTGTGTGGGGCTCTTGCTGCCTTAACAATGGGGTGGCTGGGACTTTCCCCTCTGCACCCCTGGGCACCAAGACAGCATCACCCCAGCACACACAGGCTGCAAACCTACCCATGCCAGGTAACTGGTATCCATCACAGCCAATCTTTGGTCTCTTCTCACTGTAGCGGGCACAGAGGTGGGCACTGCCAGCCTGATTACAGCACCAGTCATACAACTTCAGCTCCTGGTCTGGAGGCAAAAAGGAGAGTAAGGGGCTGAAGGAGAGAAGAGAGGGAGATGGGCTGGCTCTGGGCAGGCAGGGTGCTTGCCTCAGCTTATGGGAGATCCACACTCCCTCCAAGGGCAACAGCATGTCAGGAAAGAGGCTGGTATGGAGACTAAAGTGATTTAGAGGCTACAGCGATGTCAGCCTCAGTTGGGGGATGCCAGGGGCGGCTGTGCTTACCACGGTAGGGAGACGCCTGCCTGAAGGGCCTCCAGTACCTCTCCTGCCGCCCCTCGATGAGCTGGTTCTGACTGTCATACAGGCAGCGGATGCCAGCACCGTGCTGGTTGGGAGAGGTGGAATGCAGCATGGAGACACGGGCAGCCCACCAGCCTGCAATGGGGTGGCAGTGAGCCTTAGACCACAGCTCTCCCCAGCCAGCATCCTTGCCTCAGGACAAGGAGCAGGGCTGGGGCTTGCTCCTTGTTATCCATCACTACCACTGCACCACCCGTGGTGCTATGGGGGTTTGGAGGGACTGACAGAGACCATCCAAGTGATCCCCCACAGTGAGACCTGGGTGCTGCGGAGGGTCCATTCCCACTGTCCCCATACAGCTTGGACCAGCTCCATCCAGTTTAATAAGACAGGGGCAGGTCAGCCCTTGTTCATCCTCTATTTCCCTGTCTCTGTAGGGAAGAGCAGCCCCTCTCCTCCCATTTTCTATGGGATCACCTGCCCACCCTGCCAGCGGGACCCCAGACACCCTCGCAGGGGAGGTGGGAAGGGACAGTTTGGACACGAGGATGGAGGGAAGTGGTGTGCTCACTTACCTCCACGGCTGCTCTTGAAGCGGGGGTCCTGCTGCCCTTGCTGCAGGGAGCAGGGGCAGGCGGGCAGGCCCTGGCTCCATGCCTGCGGCTCCTGCTGCCGCCCCGTCCATGCCAGGCACTTCAGCCGGTAGTTGATACCCACTCGGCTCTCCAGCTTGTAAATCCACAGCCCGCGGAGGTCTGAGCAGGGACAGAAACCAGGAGCTGTAACCTCCAGCCAAGGGACCACAGGGGCAGCTTTGGCTTGAGGCAAGGGCTGAGTGATGCTGATGCTAGAAGCTAAGCCCACATTGTCCCTAGCCTTGGGACTCCATGCTTAACAGCTACCCAACTGCAGGAAAATGGGGAGAGGCTATTGCCAAAGAAGAAAGCCTTGGGTCAGAGCCATTACAACAAAAAGGGTCCATGGACACATCAAGAATATTTCAGCCTCAGGGTACCCAGCGGTACCTTTTGTCTCTAGGGCCCTACTAGCTGGTACCCACTGGAAGCATTTTATGAATTTGAGTCACAACAGCCCCAGGCAATGCTACAGGCTTGGGGAAGAGTGGCTGGAAAGGTGCTCAGTGGAAATGGGCCTGGCTGATTGATGGAGTTGAACATGAGCCAGCTTGTGCCCAGGCAGCCAAGAAGGCCAATGGCATCCTGTCCTGTATCAGAAACAGTGTGGCCAGCAGGGCCAGGACAGTGATCATCCCCTGTACTTGGCACTGGTGAGGCTGCACCTCAAATCCTGTGCTCAGTTCTGGGCCCCTCACTACAAGAGAGATATTGAGGAGCTGGAGCACACCCAGAGAAGGGCAGGGAAGCTGGTGAAGGGTCTGGAGCACAAGTGTGATGAGGAACGGATGAGGGACCTGGGGGTGTAGCCTGGAGAGAAGAAAGCTCAGGGGAGACCTAATCAGTCTCCACAGCAACCTGACAGGAAGTTGTAGTGAGGTGGGGGTCAGTCTCTTCTCCCACGTAACAAGCAATAGGACAAGAGTTTCCTCCTCAAGCTGTGCCAGGGAAGGTTTAGATTGGATATTAGGAAACATTTCTTCACAGAGAGGGCAGTCAGGTATTGGAACAGCGGTGGAATCATTGTCCCTGGAAGCGTTCAGAAGCCCTGTAGATGAGGTTGTCAGTGACATGGTTTAGTGGTGGTCTTGGCAGTCCCAGGATAATGATTGGACTTGGTCATCTTAAAGGACTTTTCCAGCCTGGTCACTTCTACGGTTCTATGTGCTTGGGGGGAAGGCCTAGTCTCGGTGAACTCAGTGGGAGCCTTGCCACAGTGTTAGGTTGGATTTCATCCCCTGGGGACATCTCCCTCCCCACATAGCTCTTTCCCAACTCCCTGAGGGGCTGCGTGACCCCCCCCTGGCTGTGCGGCACTACCTGTGTTGTAGCCCCTGAACTGGTCAGGGCGATATTTAGCGGCTGGAGGTCTCTGAGCCAGGTCATCGTTGTGGTAAAAACCATCCCCGCTGCATGCAGAGGAAAGAGGAAGAATCAGGGGTTGCTCTTCCTGTGCGAGGTTATCACAGCCCCAGCCTGCCCTTCAGCTGCTCTGATCCTGGGCCGGTGGGACCCGCAGCACCCAAATCACAGCTCTGAGGACACAAGGGCAAAGGTACTAGCTACCCCAACCCGCTGCCTCCTCTCTACGGGATGCAGTTAATTTTGGGTGCTGCAAATGCACCTACTGCATCATGGCTGAACCTGCAGATACCTCAAGACCCCTGTGAGCAGCTGCCGTGGTTTCCAGCATCTTGCAGGGTGATATGGAGCAGAAACCACCAGTGGTCATGCACAGGCAAACGTGCACGCAGACATGCCTGTGCTGCCCACGCTTCCTGTCCCAGCCACCTTTTCCTTACCCAGCTGCAGCAATGAGGAAACCCTGGAGACAGCGCGCATGGGGTGAGATGTAATGCGAGGAGGCAGGAAGTGACTGCTCTAGCCAAGCAGTGGAAATCCCTTCCCTCGACTGGTGCAAAGTTCAGCAAACATCCCCTGCTCCCCACTCCTTCTACCCAAACCACCAGGATGCTGTGGGCCTGGGCCCCCAGGGGGATGTCTGGCTTTTATCACAAGCGCAGCCCAGAAAGTCAGTGTGCTGCAGCACAATACAGCCACTAGTGGGGCAAATTTGATTGTGAGACCCCTGTATGTTAGGCTATATGGGCATGGAGACCCCATCTGAGCTGTCCCTCATCCTTCATGGGATGCAGGGAAAAGGATTAAACCATACAGAGCCAGTGGTGGGACACAGCCTGGTGCTCAGAGGAGGCAGGGGTAGGGTGCTGATCCTGCTGTACCTGGTGTAACCGATGAGCACATTGGTGGCAGCAAGCCTGGTGTAGTCCCATTGCATGCCTCCATCTTGGTACAGCATCAGAACGTAGGACCTGAAGCCATCAGTGGTCAGAACAGCTTGATACGTGATCGTCTGGGGAGAAGTGTTGCAGACAGGTAAGAAAGCGAGCAAAGCTGTTGGATTTTAAATCATGGCTGTGGGTCAGTGCTCGCTGAGGAACAGCAGGGCTGAGGTCCTGATGTTCAAGACAAAGGCAGCCTGGGCTGGTTTGCATTTTGCATGGAAAATGTGATGGTTTTACTTTGATGCTCCATTTACTTTGATGTTCCAGGAGAAGCCTCATATTCACCCAGTTTTATGTTCCTGAAGAACAGTGTTTCTGGTGCTCAGCAAACTCCTACCACATTAAAGAGGAAAATTTTACAGAGCAGGAGAAGTTCAACCAAAGATGTCCCCCAGAAAACCTGAGAAACACCAAAACATGGGCACAGCCCAGTCCTTCTGGTGAAAATCTTCAATTTTTCACAGAACCGGTTGTTATTTTTAGGCACAGACAACCACGGGTCTTGTTTTTTTTGACAACTCAATGAGCTCTTGAGCTCCCTAAGCCCCTTACCCTGTGGGTGTCAGTATGCGCTGTGTAGGCAGGTGCCCTCTCCCAGGTGATCTTCAGGGTCCAGGCTGCAGAGTAGGAGGACCTCAGGTACCGCCGAACCTTTGCTTCCACATCACGGACAAATGGAGGCTTGGCCGTGTTGAGGGTGATGTACTCCTGTGGGTTGGGTACACCCATGTCTATGTTAGCTCCCAGCAGGGCAAAGATAGGTCTAGACTGGGGTCATGCCATGGAGCGACTGAGGCTCCGGATGAGATTTGGATGGCTCAAGACATGACACACACAGGACTGAGCGCTCTTAGATTTGGCCCAGAAAAGGGAAATGCTGCTCATGGGCTCCATCAATTACACATTTCAAAGGACATCCACAGAATAGGTGACGAGTTTATCATTGAAAGGTGTTTCATGCAAACATGCACCCCAGTGGCTTCACTTACCTGGTAATAGGTGGTGCCAACCCCTTTGGAGAAGTCGGCGTTGTCCCAAAACACAGCAATCATGGGAACCTCCTCGTGGCCATTAAAGCCTCTGGGAGGAGGGTTGGGGTACGCGAAGATGCTGTTGTCTGAGGCTGGGAAAATGATCTGTCCATTGTCTGTAAACTGAGCAGAGGGATCCCTCCGTCAGGTGAGGATCACCCTATAACACAGGAATAGCAAGCCCATTTCCAAGCCCACTTTGAGCAAGGCCAAGGAAGGTCACCACCGATGTGGCCACAAAATCACTTCCTGCTATAAACAGACCCTAGCAGCATCACAATTGATTTGCCTCTGACACGGTTCCACCCCAGGCACCTGCCGTCCAGGGCCTACCCAGGTTCCTGAGGGATGGCAGCTTGCCCTGCAGCAGGGGTAGACCAGGTAGCCAAGGTAGACTCACGTAGAGAGAGTCGCGCAGGGTTTTCCCAAATGGGAATCCAATCTCAGGCTTGAAAAGCGGAGAATTAAAATCCACTCTCCTCTCCACGTACTGTCGATCGTTTTCCCTCACTCCATACTCGTAGAGGGGCACAGCTGCAACTGAAAAAGAAAACAAGCAAAAAAACAACCCCCAAAGCACACTTAGCAAAGCCTTTGGTGCGTGCCAAAAACTCAAAGGGCTGAAATGATTTTGCTTCCAAAGGGACACAGCCTGGGCAGTAGGAGGTTGGGAGGACACTGCCAATAGCCACCTGGACACCCTGTCTGTCACCTTCCCTTACAGGAGCTTGCTCCCACTGCTTCCACTGCCTTACACGTACACAGCTCTCCTAAACCCACTGTGATGGCCTTTGTGGTCACTGTCCCTTCCTGCTCCAGCCCTGCTGGGGCACTGTGCTGAAGGACTGCTGTTAGGAGGGGAAAAACATTGTATGGGACCGTGGTAGGGGGATAGCAGGGAATTAAGCACCCACAGCAGTTTCTAGAGATGTCCACAGTCTCCAGTCCCATATTTATGTCTGCTAAATAAAACAAAGCATTTGGGGGGACTGGTTTTTCTAGCTGATTGGACCATACTTGAAGGCAGGCTCAGCCTGCCAAAAATGAAAGCTCATGTGCAGGAGGTCCTCATGGTGTGTCTCCCCCAGGGGTCCTGGCCCCAGATAGTCCCCTTGGTCTCTGGAAACCAAGTATCCCTCAGGATGGTCAGTCAGGATACATCACATACCTGCAGGGCCAGGCAATGGGGTCAGGGCAGCCGCCGGCCCTTCTAGTGGAGCTGGAAACACTGGGGATGATGCTCGGGAGATGACAGTGGCTGCTTCTGGCCTGGGCAGTACCTTCCTGTCCCCAGGGATGGGGACTGGTGGGGTAAGTCTGGTGGTGGCTGTGCGTGTGGTGGCTGGGGAGCCCAGCCGGGCTCCCCCCTGGCCTGGGAAGGCTGTGGGGAGTTTCAACCCGCCAGTGGCAGGGGCTCGGTTCACTAGGCTGGTTGTCAGCTCACTGCCCAGGAACGGCTGTACAGCGGCTGGGCACAGGGTCTTTGATGTGGGGCTGCCAGCAGTTATCCCAGTGGGAGGAAGACCAGGGAGCCCTGGGCTTCCCCCCAGCGGAGAATGAGCAGCGGTCTCCATACCTACCCTGGCTCCAGTTATGCTGGGAAGGAGCCGAGCCATATCCCCTCGTTCTGCAATCGCTCTGTGGAGCACGGCACTTGCTTCCCCGGGCACGGGGATATCAGCATCCCTGGAGGGGGCTCCAGGGCTTTCCGTCTGGTGGGCAGGCACGAGCAGGGCAGCCCTCCCCGGTGCAGCAGCCCCCAGGTCTCCCCTTCCCCCTGCAGAGGACCCCCCTGCTGACTCACATGCTGAAAGTGGAGCAGAAAGCCCGGAGCTGGTGGAGTCTCCCTCTGCAGCGCTTTCTCTCTGTGGAGCAGAAGGCAGCGCCAGGGCAGCACCGGGGGATGCAGGAGCACGGGGGGACACCTCTCCCAACGCTGCTGGCATCCCTGAGGCCACCTCATCTTCAAGAGACCATGTCTGAGCACCTCCAGCTTCTCCTGCCAGCCCACCCCGTGCCCATGGCACCAGGGGTCTGCTCCCACTCTGGGTGCCAGGGGCAGAGTTGGTGTTCCCATTGGGTGCCAACCCGGAGCTCAGCCCATGCCCGGGAAGAGGCAGAGAAGCAGCCGTAGAGGTGGCCATGTCACTGGAAATGCTGCTGCTGGGAAGAGCCACTGGGACCAGGGGCTGCACCTCCCAAGGGGAGGCGAGGGCGGATGGGGCTGGTGCTCCTGACGTCTTCTGCATGATGGTTCCTGCTCCTTCCCGCAGGCTGGCACCAGGGGAAGGTCCCCCGTTCACTGAGGATCCTCCAGGCAGCTCCACCACATTGCCTTGGCTCAGTTTTGCATCAGGAAGTCCAGGATTAGCACTGCTCTGGATGCCAGGAGTAGGCACAAGGCGTTCCTCAGGGCCAGCAGCCTCCAAGTCTGTTCTCAAGCCACCACCAGCTGCAGGAAGGCTTGCTCTGTTAGCAGCCTCGACAGCTGTCCCAGGTGATGAAGACCCCTCTGCAGATGGGGAAGAAGATGCAGACTGCAGAACGGCTCTCATTTCTCCATCAGGGGCTCCTGAACCAGCTGGTCCCTCTCCAGCAGGGGCCTGGGACTGCCCCAGCGACCCTCCACCACCAGCTGTTTCACCTGCTCCTCCTGAAGCAGGAGGGATCTCAGGCCCAGCACCCAGGGAAGGTGGCAGAGCACCAGAAGCACTCGGGCTGGATGGATCCGAAACGGAGGATGCTGCAACCACACCACTATGAGAGGCAGGACCAAATGAGGAACCTACCCCAGGCAGCTGACCCATCCCACCCACTGTCCCACTGCCTGCAGCAGGGAGCAGGGGTGGCTCAAACCCAGTCCCACTGCCTGCTCCTCCCAGTGCCTGCTCTGCTGGGCCAGTTCCGTAGTCCCCTGCCGCCGGCAGCCCCAAATTTGTGCCAAGCTGGACCCCAAGGGCAGCTGATGGGGGTCCCACCAGTCCAAAAGCTGCTGAGCTGGGGCCATCCCATGCTGAAGTCAAGCCAGTGCTGGGTCCATTGGCTTCAGGGAGACGTGGTCCCTGGGGAGCACCAGCTGCCATCCCCGGTAGCTGTGACACCCCGAAGGACGGAGGCACGGGAGCTCCCTGGGCTGCACTGAGGTCAGGGCTCACTGGTGTCTCAGCCCTAGACACAGGGCCGGCTGCACCCCCCGGGGGTGGGTAAGCATCCCCAGGAGCACTGGCAGCTTCACTAGGCAGGCGCCCTGGTCCTTCAGCCCCCAAGATGCCAGGCTCTGGGCCAGCACTGCCAGGAGGTGCTGGACCAGGCAGGGGCCCTTGTCCCAGTGGTGGCACTGCTCCTGCTGCTGCTCTGTCCTCAAGAGCTGACAGCGGGGACAGTTCAGCATTCACCAAAGTGCCTGTTGCCCCTGCGGGTAGCTCTCCAGTGATAACAGGGTCCTGCTGAGTGCTGAAGGCTGAAGGATTCATGTCACTCTGGGTATCTGCATAAGGACTGCCATTCCCTGGACCTCCTGACTGTGCTGTGTCCCCTGCACCCTCGGCCCCCTGACCCTGGACCCCAGCAGCAGGCCATGCCAGTCCATCAGGTACAAAAGACGCTGGGTTGGGAGCATCTGGAGCTGAATTCAAGCCAGTGCCATCAGCACCCTGGGGACCACCTGCTGCCATCTCCCATGGCTGTGACACTCCAAGAGAAGGAGACACAGGTGCTCCTTGATCAGCAGTGAGGCTGGGGCTTGCTGGTGTCTCTGTCCCATCATCAGCTGCAGGCAGGGTGCCAGACCCAGTCCCTGGGGGTGGGTAAGCAGCCCCAGGAGCGCTGGGGAATGGCAGAGCAGCAGCAGGCAGTGGCGGCTGTTCTCCAGTGAGGGTCTGCCACGGGGCGGGTTGCAAGGATGGTCTGGCTAGATGCACAGCCCCCATGTCCCCTCTGGGTAGTGCAGTGGCCAAGACTGGGGGATTTATGCCACTCAGTACATCTGTGGGAACCCGTGGGGCTAGCTGTGAGATGACAGTGTCCTCTGTTGCCTTGGGTGCCTCACTGGCTGCAGGTGACAGGGTTGAACCAGGAGCCTCCAATGACACCCTGGAGGTTCCCTGCCCATCCCCATCCTCACTGCCGGCTGGTGCCAGTGAAGTAGCTGGGCTCTGCGCTGCCTGGCTAGGGAGGAGGGAGGGCTCCCATAGGTTTCCCTCTGTTCCCAATACTGTTGGGCTCTCCAGGGGCAGGAAGGTCGAGGCAGCTGGGCTGAATTCACCATTTACTGCATCTCCTGCACCTCCAGGCACTGAAGCTGAGAGACTTCCCTCAGCAGCTGGGGTCATTTCTCCCACTGGCTCTGGGGTGATGCCCACAGCTCCACTCACCGCTCTGTCCTGCTGGGCCGTAAGCAGCCCCCCAGTGCTGGTTCTGGGGCTCAAGAAGTTGGCACTGTCTTCACTTTGGATATCCAGAGGCAGAGTAACACCTTCCTCAACTGCTCCCGTGGCTGTGGTCAGCCCCTGGCTTGGCAGTACGGTGACAAAGGTACCCACAGGTCTGCCAGCAGTTGACTGTGCTGGTGGAGGGGTGATGGGGAGGGACTCAGTGGTGGGGTTTAGATCTTCTCCTCCTTCTCTGGTCACGGCCGCAATGTCCTCCTTTATATCTGGAAAGAGAGGAGTGGTCCCGAGGGGGGTGTCGGGACCAGCCACTGTTACATCAAGCTCTGCTTCTGGGGTGACAGCAGGGTGCTGTGCAGAGATTGCAGCAGCGGTCGTGCCTGCAGCAGGAGCAGCCGAACCCCTCTCAAAATCCTGAGGTGTGTTAGGAGGCTTGGTCCCGTTTGTCAAAGCTGGTGCTGTAGAGCCATATTCACTCGCCGCTGTCACCAAAACATTCGGCTCAGTCCCAGGAGGAAAGGATGGGCTTGGTGGGCCCTCTGTCTCAGCATCAGCCGCCAAGGTGCTTGTCTCCACAGCGCCCATCACCAGGGCACCAGGCCCCTCACTCTCTGCTGTGATGTGAGAAGCTGTCCCGGTAGCAAATGGCCCCTCGGTAGTAACAGGGACTGCAGGAGCAGTCCCAAGGCCTGCAGAGATACACAAAGTGGAGCATTATGCTGGGCACTGGAGCCAGCAGCCTGCCAGGATCAGCTATGTGTCCCTGTCAGCCGAGCAACGGGAAGATCCCACCCCTTCTTAAACCCTACTGCCCCGTCCTGTGGCCTCACAAGTCTCTGATTTAACAGATAAGGAAAGCAGCCTGGGCTACCTTAGGCACTGCACTGCACAGCGCCTTTTGCAGCCCCAGCATCTGCTGCTGCCAGCTGAGACAGGACACAACTCATCACAGGTCTGGTGCAAGCCTGGAGGAAAAGGCAGATGCTGCAACCAGGACAAAGGCAGACACTGCAACCAGGCACTGCGGATGGTATTGCCTGCCACTGAGAAGAGCTGGGGCCCAGCAAGTCTAGCTCATAGCCCCAAGGGCGTCTGTGGAGCTCTACCGCCTGAGGGCAGCTCTCAGCCCTCTTTGCCTTGCTGCAGGGACAAAACTGAGCACAATTTCTTCTGCAGAGCTGGTGTGTGTGTGTGTTCTTCCATTTTTTCACCCTTTTGGTGTCTGAGGGACATTTAAATACAGTTTACTCAAAGCCCTTTGGCAGATAGGGCAGCCAGGGCTTAGTGAAATATTCCCTGATGGCAAATCCCTCTCTCCTGCTGCAGATAAAGCAAAGGGGACTACCCCTCTCCTCCAGCTGGGTGCAGGCATCAGGAATTCCCTGCCTGTGGAGGGAATATTAACTCCCAGGACCAAGCCCTGCTTACAGCTCCCTCCTCTTGCTGTCGAAGTCCTGCCCCATATCCAGGAGCTTTACACAAAGGAGGAGACACTACCCCACATCCCAGCACCCTCTGGCACCCATGGGTGACGTTCCACCCAGTCTTATTTTTAGGAGAGGGATGTAGGCTCTGGGGAGGCCAATCTGCCACGGTTGGCTTCAGGAGGAGTCAGGCAGATCTGCTGACGCTTGGCTTTAGGCGGCCGCAATTAGGGGAGACAAAGGGCTCCCCGAGGGTGAGCCCCAGCAGGGTTTCACCTCAGCACGACAGCCTGAGCCTGTTCCCCATCCCGGTGCTCCGGTTCATCAGGTTCCCCTGCCAGACAACCACATCCCCCTGCAGCAGAGGTGCCTCCGACCTCACCGCTGGCTCAGATCATTAACTTGTGGATAGCTTGTACCGGAGTCATTAATGACTATGATAGACCAGTCCTTGAGGGGTCTGTCCTCCCTCAACCCCCTATTCCCCCTCCTGTCAAGCTGCTTCCTTGTCATCTTCCTTGGCTCTTTGCACCAACCCCCTTCAGCCAGAGGAGCTCAGCAGCTTCCCTCCCCATCTTGGAGAAAACAGAGCTCATCAGTCAAGTCCCCCAGGTTAGCTGGGCACACTCTACCCCAGTAAATCCTTGTTTTATCTTAATTCTTCCATGCAGAGCAGGAAACGCCACCTACCCCACGCCACCCCGTCGTGGGAAGCATGTGTGAGAGGGGCCCCAGCATGGAGCATGGAGTTTGCTCTTTCCCGGGACGTGGGAGGGATGGGAGTGTCTCTGGAGCCCCGCTGGCTTCCCTTGGATCCCTTGCTGGAGGGGCTGTATATAGGCTCCAGGGATGGGCTCTCACCTCTCCCACGGGTCCATGCCTGCAGCCAGCCCCTCAGGTGATGCCTGCTCCATAAAACACTTTTCCTAGCTCTTTGGCTGCAATGTATTGTGAGGACTTGCTCATAAGAGGAGTTTCCAGAGTAATCAGGAGAGAAAAGCATCTCACAAGTGTACCTGCTATGCCCTGCAAGGGCTCATACAGGACGTGTGTTAGCATTAAAATATAAGACATACCGTGTAGAATCCATATGCAGCATCCCACGAAGGTAGAAAGTGGCCATCCCCTGGTCTGCATGCCTCAGGCCTCCAAGCAGGCAGAGCACTGGGAAGCTCAAAGGGAGGTGAGAGCAGCTCCGTTCGTCCGTCCGTCCGTCTGTCTGTCTCTCCGTCTGTCCCTCCCTCCCTGCCTGCCTCTCCTGCAAAGCTGGAGTCCCGCAGGTGCAACCCTGCTCCTGCTCCCTCCCATTTATAGGGATGGCAGAAGGAGGCAGGTTGCAGCCGCCGTCCCCTCCCGCCCCCAGTGCTTTCCCTCCAATGTCCCTGTCATCATTCCCTTCCTGCTGAGCTGCCTCCTTTCCCAAAAGCTGGATGTTCAAGTGGTGCATGGGTTGGGGGTTAGCCTACAGGAACCCAGTCTCCCAGGGACCTGGGCACAGTCCAGTGCAGCTCTCTGGGCCACCAGCACCAGCTGGAGAAGCTGAGCCCAGAGCAGTGCATGACACTGCCCACAGTGGTATCCAGACACTCCAGAGGCCCCACAAGACCTGCTCCCCATGCAGGAGAGAGGGACACGGAGCAGTGGGTTGTGGTGGTGGTGGGGCAATGCCAGGTGGTGCCACCATGCCTGTGAGGACACCACAGACACTGAAATCAGCAGCTGAGCCATGTTCCCCCTTGGCTCAAGGCTTCCCCCAGAGCAGAGGCAGGTTATAAAGCAGAGAGAGGTAGGGTGGGGAGCAGGCCCTGGGATGTCAGCTGAGCTCCCCAGAACTCAGCTATAACTGAGAGCACTGGGGATTCCCATCCAGAGCCCAGCATGCCCCATCAGGGTTTTAAACCTGCACCTGAGTATGGGCACAGTGGTATGGGGTGCTGGGACGGGGTGAACAGGCCAGGGAAACTCTTCTGCAAGGTGGGACCAGCCACCCCAGAGGTCTGAAGCAGGAAAAGGTGCAGACCAGGATCCCCTCCCCTGCTATGGGGATCCCCTGGGTCACTTCACCCCTATGTCTCCCCTTCCCCTGAAGAAACAATTCCCAGTTCCCCCCCTTGAAAGCTGCTGCCAGCTCCCCCACTAAGAGCATTATGCAAACCCCCACCACTGCTACATGGTTTTGTAATCAATTAAACGCATTTTAACCAGAACTGCCCCCAGGCAACTCCTGCAAAGTGCTATTAGGGGTGTTAGGCAGTACACAGTGTCCCACCCCTCCACCAGGCATGTGGCAATGGCAGGGCACACTGAGCGACATCCCGACCCCAGCTAGGCAGCGCCGATAGGGGAAGTCCAGGGGAGGCCAAGTCACGGCTGATGGATCCCCATCCTGTAACCCACGCATTACCCCCAGCACTGGGAACAGGGCATAGGTGGTAAATAAGGGGGGAGCACCACTTGCCCGGAACCGAGAACACCAGCACAGGAACGAAGCCGGGGGGAGGACGGTGCACTGGGTGCCCCTCAACCAGCACTGCAGATCACTGTGACTGCCCAGCCAGTGACCACCCCAGCAGCTGCCATACCTGGGCTGATGGAGGATTAGAGGGATGCAAACCCACAGTGGGAGAGTCATTGCTGTCTGTGCTGACAATGCCATATTGCTCTGGAAAGCCACCCTGATGGGGAATATGTGCTGACACTGGAGAGAGTTGCTCCAGGTGGTGTCTGAGGTGTAAAACGTGGTGGGAACCACAAGGGTTGTTGCAAGTGTACTGCTCAGCATAGGGGAAAACAACTCAGATGAAGCAAGGTGCTTCCAGCACACCTCAACCTCAGCCCTCCTGCAAGCTCCTGCCCGTGTTGTGCTGGGACTGGCACTATCCAGAGACCCTCAGGCTTACACCTTCTGCCTAAATAGCCCAATTCCCTGATGCTCCTCCAGCAGTCATGGGGGTGACAAACCAAGCTTGTCCTTCTGCTCTGGCATTGGCACACCCTCCCAAGAAGGCCTGCAGCCACCCAGGGTCGTCCCTCATCTCAAGGATGGTGCCCTGTTCCCACCCTGGGAAAGGACTTTTCCTAAAACCAAGGTCCCAGCAAGCTGCTGGCTCCTGGAAGGATAACCAGCACCTGCAGTTATCAAGGACCAAAGCATCAGCTGTGCACCAGAGCCCCTCAGGAGCCCACATCCAGGGGACAAAACCATGAATCCCAGCATCCATGGGTTCTGCACTATACAGCATGGCATGGCATGGCCCAGCACAGTGCCTTATCAGCCTTCCCGGAATTAATGGGCTGGTTGTTCCAGCCCTGCGGAGATGCTGGCATCTCCTACCAGCACTGGTCCTGCTTCCTATCAAGGGCATTTGGAGAGGGGTCAGGGGTGGGTGGGGGGGACCAGGTTATCCATCAACTCCATAGGTTCTGCATGATTTGGCATCCTACGGAGACAGGCTATAGCCTCCGGCACGGGTGAAGGGGAGAGGGACACTGGAAGGGACACTTGAGTCACAAGGGAGTTGAGACATATTCCCCATGATGCTGCTGGGTGTTCTGGAGTGACAGTTCTGCTGGTGCAGAGTTTGCTCCTTGGGACAATGATGATAGATGGGAGCGGGTTATAGCGAACAGGCTGAGAAATGATTTATGGGCTCAGAAAGGAATGGGACTTGGATCCAACCTCCCAAGACCATCTGGACAGGGGTCCATGACAAGCCATGGTAAAAATGGCAGCCGGAATCCTCATGGATGGCAGGCATGGAGAGCATGGGCAGCGTTAGGAGCTTGTCAGAGCTCAATGTCCCCAACACCCAGGCAGGGCTCACCATACCAAAGGGAGCATGTCCCCCCACCATGCCCCACTTCTTCCTCCCATGCTGGGGTCCAGAGCCGCCCAGTGGGACCAGAGCATCTCTTCCTCCGGCCACGCCCCAGCCATGACAACGGAAGGCATCCACGCTGGCAGGGGACAGTGAGTGCCCCGGTCACCTTTTCATCCCGGCACTTCAGGACCTTTTCCTCCCTTTGTGACGCAGTTTGGCTCCACTACCCCGGCCTTGGCCCCTGGCCATGTCCCGGGGTCTGAAGTTATGGATTCAACAGCTGGAGAAAGCAGCCCAATGGGATGCGGTGTGGGAGGACTCTTGGCCCAGCTCCACGGCGTAGGCAGAGCACGAGGATTCCTTTCCCAGCACCCCACCAGCCATCCAGTGTGGGGACCCCTTCCGGCAGGCTTTGCCCTGCTCCCCAGCTCCCTGAGCAGGTGCTAAGGACCTCTCTTGGTGCCAACAGCTACAACAAGTCCCACAAAGCCAGGCAGCATCCTAGAGAGCAGAGGGGCAACACTGGAATGCAAGGGGCATTCCACACGGCAGTATCCTGAAAAGCTGCCTGGGCTCAGCCTCCATCCCCAGCCCAGTCTCTCCTTGGACTGCAAAGTGGCAGACAGATGGGTGATCCCAGGGTGCCTCTCCCCATTCTGTCCCCATCCAGCCCTGGAACAATATATCCTCAGGTTTAATATCCCAGAGCCCCATGTGCCCCCTCCCAGCCTTCCCCACACTGGTGGCACGGGCTGCCAGCAAGGAGCAGAGATCAGCCTAAAACAACCCCAGAGAAGCAACAGGGCTATTTTGTTAATTATTTCAGTTTTCAATCTCCCGGCGAGGTGACTTGTTTAGGCTAATAATTGCTTCAGTTGGATTTTATCTGGCTAATTAATCAGTTAATAAATGACTTTGCTGCAGGGGGATAGATGTTGCGGCCGTCTCCTTAACTGGGGACTGGAAAAAAACAGGGAAGGAGCACAGCCCATGGGATTTCCACAGCCACATGGTGCACATGGGTGGCATGGGGCAGAGAACACCCAAGCAGGGACCCCCAGCCTGTCAGCATACTGAGCCAACCTCGGAGTGTTTGCAGCAGCCCCTGCCAGGGGGAGCAGCCCTCAGCTCCTCTCTCTGCTGTGAAGCTTTTGGGACACAGTTTTCCTTGCTGGTACCTCTGCTAGATGGAGAAGCTGAAAACTGGGGAAGACAGCTTGGAGAAAAAAGAAGTCATCATCTTTGTCACAGAAAACATGGGATTTCCCTTTACTGCCCAGCCTGGTTAGCATGGGTATGCTCCTGTCAGCAATACCACAGGTGAGCTGGGGATTGCCTCTGTACCAGGCTCTGGCTTCACTTGACCACTGCACTGCAGGGCTCAGGAGCTCACTGGCCATGGGGCAGGGCTCTGGTGTGGGATGGGGGCTCTTTTCCTCTCCTGCCTCCTTCCCAAGAACCACCTCAGGCTCCACCTTGGCCCGCTCTGGATGTAAAGCAGCCATGAAGCATCTCCTGAAGACCTCAGGCACTGCAGCCTCCCTGGGTTGCAAATCTTTGGAGACCACCAAAACCAAAGCCCTGAGTGTCCTGGGCACAGCAGCACTGGGGCTTCTAGGTCTCCTTTCTCTCATCCACTGGTCCTCAGGGTGGCCTTCATGGCTGAGCCAGCTTAGTCCCAGCTGTAAAAGCCCATCCCCACAGGGCCCTCTCTTCTTGGTCCCCTGGCAGTGCTGGTAGGGGGAGCCTCATCACAGGAGCCAGGTCTGGTGCAGGATGGTGGGAGGGCTCAGGCTCTGCAGAGAGGCTGAGGGAAGGGGCAGGGGCACCCTAGCCCACAGAGAGGCACTGGGGGTCCTGTGGGGATGGGCAGTGAAGGACGGGGGGTCCCAGGTTCAAGGGGAGCTGTACAGGTTACCCCAAAGGGCTGCACCACTGTGAGTTAGGAGCTGGCAGCAGACGGCTTGCCAGTCCACATGGGTGCTGGCTGGGCGAGGAGCAGCGGTCAGGTCCTCCTCTTCCCTCGCCACTCTACCGCCAGGCCGGCACATGGAAACGCTGTCTGTAAGTCCCCGCGGAGCTGTGGGGAAAGGACAGCCATCAAACAATGCCAAAGGGATGTCCTACCCCTGCTCCAACCTAGGAGGGGCTTGATCCCAGATGAGGGTCTCCCCTTCATCTGAAACTGCTCCAGGTGACATTCAGTGTAAGACCCAGCCATTCCCCTCCTGCTGGCTGTCAAACCTCCTCCCTAGCTGGCTGCACCATGGCTGGCAAATGCAAAGTGGCACCCCCCTCCCAGCACACCTCACCTTGGACAACAGCAGCTCCTGCACTGTGGCGTTGCCCAGGTCCAGGGGGATGGTTAGCCGCAGTGACAGAAAGAGATGAGATACACCTAGGGATGGAAAACATGGTTCTGGTTATAGCCCTTAAATATTGGGCTCTGTCAAAGGATCTGGGGGTCTTTCCCCTGATCCTCTGTCAGAGACACAGAACCTTCTCCCAGGTTAGTCATGTCATGGACACCTTAAACTGTCAGGAGAATAACGCTCCACCTGTATAGCAAACCACACATCCCACAGAGCATCAACACCCTTGTATTGAGAGCATGGGAAAAGAACAGGGCTCCAGGACCCCCTGCACTTGCCCCTGGAAGCCTAAAGCCACCAGCACTGAGGGTGGTGATACCCATGGGGCACTGCACTTACTGGTGTTGGATGTGGTGGTGGGGCAGACAGGCAGCATCGTTGGCAGGTCTGCAGAGGTGCTGAGGGCAACCTCTGTGGTCTGGGTTGAGCTGGCAGCAGGGGAAGAGGGCTCCGTGCCTGGGCAAAGTAATGTTATGTTAGTGCAGCCTGCAGAGAGGTGCAGGATGCTCCTACAGCTGGGGACAGACCGAGCCTAAATGGAGCCACCTCCATGAAGCCACCCAAGTATATGCCCAGCATCCCTTTGGGGATTTGTCCTGACTATGCCCCTTGCTTGCCAGGCACCCCATGGCTGCACCTACCTGTGGCTGCACTGAGGGTCCCAGATACTGTTGATATACCTGGGGTCGACCCCAAGGGTGAGTTGGAGTTGCCAGGGGTAGTCCTGGATGTGGGATTGCTGCTGCACATGTCCGTGCTGGTAAAGGGGGAGGCTGTGCTGTCTGCCAGGGTTGTCAAGGGCTCAGCTGAAGTGACTGTCGGTGCTGGTGTGGTGAGAGGAGGCACAGTGGATGGTGAGAAGCTGCTGGTCCCCAGCGATGTACTGGGCCTCTCCAGGGTAGAGGATTCAGAGCTGGAGGGAGGGAGAGTGGCTGCAGTGGTGGGGTCAGTGGTGGGCAGCACTGCTGAGGTCTCCATAGGTGTCAGGGAGGTAGGGACACTCGTGGACATGGTTGCTGTCACATCTGTGACGGTAGTCGCTGCAAAGAGGTGGGAGAATGAGGTGTACAAGGGCTGGTAGTGAAAGGCTGAGACCATGGCTCTGCTGGGGATAGTGCAGCACCACCACCATGATCTCCATGAGGGATCCAGAGCTGCACATCAGCCATGGAACATTGAGAGTGAGAATTCACTGTCCTGCATGGATCCACCATGTGGATGCCCAAAATGGGCATCAGCAAGGCAGGCCATGTAAATCCAAGCCCAACAAATCAGGAACAAGACATGGCCATCGTTGGGCTCAGGACAGAAACTCCTGTAGGCGCCAGCACTGAGACCCGTTTCACCACCTTCACCCACCCCTGGAGGAAGTCAGACAAACCCGTCCGACAGGAAGAGCAGTGCAGGAACTGGTGACCGTGAGACAGGCTGGAACTGCAGCAGCAGCGGTTTACACAAAGCTCCCTGCTGCAGATAGTCAGGAACTGATAACACCGGGTGTAAATAATGGCAAGGGGGGAACCAGCCCCACAGAGGAACAAATCCCAGCTCGCAGCTTAGGGCAAGTAGTTAGAGACGTGCAGCAACCCATGAAAGCTCTGCGGGGGGGGGGGGTCATGAAGGATGCAGGAGGGCCTTCCTCTCTGCCTGCACCGACTCTGTACTGGGGCATTGTGCTATCCCTGAGGAAGCCCAGGCATCTGTAACCCTTTCCAAAAGGATGCACAAACAGCCTGGCTGTCCCAGCCTCCATCAAGGTATGCCTGCGAGTTAGTGGCTTTGAGATGCCAGGCTGGATTCCACCATAATCCCAGCAGAAACCCAATGAGTTTGTGTCTCTGCTTGCATCGGGTTGGGGAAACAAGCCACGAGCTTTCAGCCAACGCCACCAAAACTTCCCACAGCCATTCACTCCGTGAGCTGGTGCTGGCTGCAACTGGTTAAATAATAATGTGGAGAAGGGCAATGGTCTGATCCCAACCCATGCTGGGTATCTGCACTATAGATCCACATGCTCACATACAAAGGAGGAGCTGTAAGTCCACCTCTGTTTCCCATTTAGCAAACAACACTCGCAGTGTTTCACTCCCTCACCACACAAGGCACCACACTGTCCCGAGGAATGATGCTCCATGCTCACCACCCGCCCCATGGAGACCATTGCAACCCACTCAGCCCTTACCGAGTACGAGGTGCAGCACGGCGAGGCGGGCAAGGCTCAGCAGCAGCAGGGGCAGGGGTGACCTCCTGCTTTGCCCAGCCATGTCCGGGTGGGTGGGTGGGAGCCGATGGGACCCTGCAGGCACCAGTCCAAGTGCTCCCTATGTCCCCAGCACTGGGGTTTCCTGGTCTCCTTTGCCCAGTAGAGGAGGAGCATTCAGGTGGGCTCTTTCACTCCCTAGGTGTTGGCAGCAATGGGGGGGTTTCCACCCGACACAGATACTCCCAGGGAGCGGCGCGATGCCAAGCAGACATCAGCTGCACAGCTGGACCCAGAAGGGCCAGGAACAGCAGGCAGGGCAGGCCGGCAGGGCCACCACTGCAGCCAGGGACTGTGCCGTCCTTGCCTCCTGAGGAGACAGCGACAACAGAAAAAAGCCCAGGGAAGCAGCCAGGCTGCCTGGGACCGTCCCGGTGCTCCACCACGGGGGTGATGTTTGGTGGTGGCTCCGGACACCAACGCCCTTGGGAGACAACAGCCTTGTCTGAGCGCGAGGAACTGGCTGAGAAAACAGGAGGCGCTCAGGAAGGGCGTGCTCCAGGCTGACGGTTTGTCCCCTGGGCTGTCTGTACAGGCATCACTTCCCTATGTCACAGCATGTCATGGCTGAAGCGCTTTGCTGATAGCTGGAGTCACTTCCTTCTTCTCAGGGTCAGGGACAAGAGCAGTCAGAGGTGCCTGAAGGCACTGGGCCAGGGTACAGGCGCTCCTGGAAGGTACAAACATGCTGGAGGACCGTCAGGGCACAGCCACCCTACCGCTGTACAGACACATTTAGGCATCACCGTTGTACAGCGGTACAGGCACTCTGCTAGGGTGCTGTCACACTGTAGCCATTAGGCCAGGGTACAAGTACTCGGTCAGGATTCAGTTGCTGTACCTTGGTACAGGGATTCCGGGGCCACATGCACAGCTAGGGGCACCGGAGCATAGGGTCCAGCCTCCCTGCCAGGTAGAGGTGCATGGAGAGGGGTGTCACCAGGACACAGCTGTAGCCCCGGGGTGAAGATTATACCCTGGGAGAGCCACCGGGGTACGATCACACTGCTGGGACACAGGTGCTTACGATGGGGCACTGCCAGTGTACAGCTATTGAGGGGGAACAGCTGGTGTACAGCCGCATTCCGGGGGTACAGCCGGGACACCGCCCCACCGCCGCGCTACCGCCGGACAACAGACGCCGCGCCCCCGAAGCCACGCCCTCTATCGGGGCCACGCCCCTTCCCATACTTACGCCACGCACGGTCCTCCCACAGGCCACGCCCCTCCCCGCTTTTCCCGCCCCTTCCCGCGGTGGGGTCGGGTGGGAGCCGCACTCACCCGCGGCGGAGCTGGGGGTCTCGGAGGCGGCGCCAGCGGTGGTCCCGGCCGTGGTCTCGGGCAGTTGGGTGGGGGTGCTCCCGGGGCCCCCCGTGCTGGTAACGGCGGTGGCCGTGGTGTCCGACGTGGTCCAATGGGGCTCATCCGAAGTGACTGTCGGTGCTGCTGCGGTGTGGAAAGAGGCGCTGCCGGTCCCTAGCGATGTGCTGCCAAGCAGTGTGGCCACGGCTGGCTCTTGGCGGGTGGTGATGCCAAACGTGGTGCCCGCTCCGGTGGAGGAGAGAGGAGCAGAGTTGGAGGGAGGCAGTGTTTTCTTTTCGACTCCAAACGATAAGACAGCCGATGGCGTACCGGTCCCCACAGATGTGACAATGGTTGAATCAGTACCATTGGATGTCATAGCCACCGGAGCTGGTGTCGGGGTGCTGGTGGTGAGCCCTAGCCTTGTTTGGGTGGGCTCAGGTAGTACCGAGGTGCCATCGGGAGTGCTGAGGGCTGTGCTACCAGTCACCTGTGGTGTGGTCATGCTGGAGGCTGCCGGGCTGCTCCTCAGAGGCACAATGCTGGCTGTGAAAGCACCCATGGTGGAGGTGTCAGGGCTGGAGGGAGGGAGGGCGGCTGCAGTGACAGTAGGCGTGGTGGATGGTGAGAAGCTGCTGGTCCCCAGCGATGTACTGGACCTCTCCAGGGTAGAGGATTCAGAGCTGGAGGGAGGGAGAGTGGCTGCAGTGGTGGGGTCAGTGGTGGGCAGCAGTGCTGAGGTCTCCATAGGTGTCAGGGAGTTAGGGACACTCGTGGACATGGTTGCTGTCACATCTGTGACAGTAGTCGCTGCAACAAGGAGGGAGAATGAGGTGTACAAGGGCTGGTAGTGAAAGGCTGAGACCATGGCTGTGCAGCACCACCACCACCATGAGTTCTACAAGCTATGCATGAGCAATGGATCATCAGGAGTGGGAATTCACTGTCCTGCATGGATCCACCATGTGGATGCCCTGAACAACAATATGATTGTCAGCAAGGCAGGCCATGTAAATCCAAGCCCAACAAATCAGGAACAAGACATGGCCATCGTTGGGCTCAGGACAGAAACTCCTGTAGGCGCCAGCACTGAGACCCGTTTCACCACCTTCACCCACCCCTGGAGGAAGTCAGACAAACCCGTCCGACAGGAAGAGCCGTGCAGGAACTGGTGACCGTGAGACAGGCTGGAACTGCAGCAGCAGCGGTTTACACAAAGCTCCCTGCTGCAGATAGTCAGGAACTGATAACACCGGGTGTAAATAATGGCAAGGGGGGAACCAGCTCCACAGAGGAACAAATCCCAGCTCGCAGCTTAGGGCAAGTCATTCTCTGTGAGGGGGTGAAGGATGCAGTAGGATAAGACCTACCCAAGCTTTGTGAGTTTGAGGCATGCAGGAGGAATGAGCCTCAAGTTTATTCCCTGTGTTTGACTCAACACTGCTCTTGCTTTGTGTCAAGTGCAAACATCACGATGGCATTTGGAGTTTTCCAGGCCCACAACATCCTGGTGATGCTGCCATCCAGGCAGGGCCATTTTGTGCTTCTGGGTAGGTCGTATCAAAGGCAGTGAGCCCAGCAGTGACCAGTGTTCAGGAAGGAAGTCAAACTGTGAGCAAGGTCTTCTCTGCTTGGATGGAAACCCACATGAGAGGCAAAAGAAGTGAAGCCAAGCTTGTTGCTTCTGTGTTGCAGAGCACAGTCCTTTCACCCACTGGAACGAGGCCGAGATATCAGAAAGCAAACAGCACGCACAGTGTTCTACCTGTGTTGAAGCCATGCCGAGGCTGCCACCACCACCCTGGGGAATGATGCTCCCATCTCAGCACCCACCCAATTGATAGCACAACATCCCACTCAGCCCTTACCCAGCGTGAGGTCCAGCACGGCAAGGCTCAACAGCAGCAGTGGCAGCCCTCCTCTCTGCCCAGCCATGTCCAGAGCCAGCACCCCCACTCCCTAAGTGGAGACAAAGTCCCTGCACCCAGGGATACAGGGCCAGCGAATGGTGCCAGCAGTGGAACTACGGTGCCGAGTGACGTTTGAAGGTGGCAGGAGCCACTTCCTCATTCCAGCGGGCAGGGAGTGGAGGCACTGGCGGGCACTACTCCCCTTTCCCGGGGGAAGGTGCTGCACCGATGTCCCCGGGGCACCCGCGGGCGCCGCGGACATCGTCACAGCACCGGCCCCCGTGTGCACGGGGGGCGGTGCCAGATGATGGAGTCCCTCCCCTTATCCCGAATCCCTGCCCATTTCCACGCCTTTAACAACCCCCCTACCCCCCGTGTTGTATAACATCAGGAGGACCGCGTGGCTGCCAGGTAAGGACCGGGAGGGGCAGGGTACCAGCATCCCGCTGGCTTACGGACCGGGATGGGTAAGGCACCGGGAGCTCAGTACGGTCCCGTTTCCCTTCGCAGCTGCCGCGCGGAACCACGCTGCTCTCGCTGCCGGCCCGGGTAGTGCTAAGGATGCGGCGGCGGCAAGGGAAGCGAAAGGCCTCGGCCCCGGAGGAGGTTTTACGCGTGCCTCGGAGGAGGACGGAGAAAGAGGAGGAGGTGCAGGAAGCCCGGCAGAGGGCGGCCCCCTCCGTGCGAGAGTTTAAGTTCAACAAGAAGCGGGTGCGCCTCATCTCGGAGGGCTCGGATCTGAAGGATGATGGTCGGTGCATCCTTTACTGGATGTCCCGGGACCAGCGGCTGCAAGGTGTGAATCAGCAGATGGGGGAGGCTGGGAAGTGGAGCTCCTATGGGTGGCGAAATCCACAGTCCCTTCCCACAGTAGGCCTTGGAACTGGTTACCCCTGTGCAGGGGAGACCCCATCTCCATTCCCTCAGTAAAGCATCCTCCCTGACACTGCCCCATGTGCTTTCTCCCCAGATAACTGGGCTTTCCTCTATGCCCAGCGCCTGGCCCTCAAACAGGAGCTGCCTCTGCATGTCTGCTTCTGCCTGGTGCCCAAATTCCTGGAGGCCACCATCCGCCACTATGGTTTCATGCTAAGGGGTCTGCAAGAGGTGGCCGAGGTATGACTGCTGCAGGGATGTCCATGCTGAGTGGGACAGGGGTCCTGAGGGAGGGGGCAGAAGACTCATCCTTTCAGTGGATGGTCGTGGGATGTGGTCTGCAGGGGTGTGAACCATCCCATAGCCTTTTCCCCCTCACTGCAGGAGTGCACAGAGCTGAACATTGCATTCCACTTGCTGCTGGGCTACGCCAAGGACGTGCTGCCTGCATTCGTGCTGGAGCATGGTGTTGGTGGGCTGGTGACGGATTTCAGCCCCCTCCGCCTCCCCAGGCAGTGGGTGCAGGACGTCAGGGAGCGGCTGCCAGAGGATGTGCCATTTGCACAGGTGGGTGCCTGCACTCTGCGAGGGGAAAACTGGCTGGAGAAATGTGGGAGAAACTTGTCTCCTGCGTTCTGTGCCTGCAGAGGTGAGCCAGAGTGACCTGAGCAGGGAGTGTGTGTGTCATGTCTTTGGGACCATTTGCTTCTCCTGCTCACACCCTCCTCCATGGCTTTGCTTTCCAGGTTGATGCTCACAACATCGTGCCCTGCTGGGTTGCCTCCCCCAAACAGGAGTACAGTGCCTATACCATCCGGAGAAAGATCCAGGCTCAGCTCCCTGAGTTCCTCACGGAGTTCCCCCCTGTTGTTCGTCACCCATATCCCCCCTCCTGCCCAGCAGAGGTACCAGCAGCAGACGCTTCCGCACTCAAGGCCAATCCTAGAGGGTTTTACAGCTGTTTTGTGATCCTGGGAGAGGATGGCAGGGAATGGGGACAGTGACCTGCCTGAAGTGGGCAGGTGATGTGGAGATGGCAGTGCCCTTGGGGAGGTTGGTTCGCGTCTCATTCATTCAGGGCAGGTCTAGTTAAGAGGAGAAGGCTGGCATGAGCTTGGGACTTGCTGGCTGGGGACACCCAGGGGACCTAAGACTCAGGGCAGCCCTGGCTGAAGAGCATCTGTAAATGCACTCATGCTGCTTGGTCACTGCCCAGCCCATTGCTTGGGAGGCCTGTTATTCCAGCTTGGAGGTGGACCATACAGTGAAGGAGGTGGAGTGGGCGACCCCTGGGACGGCTGCGGGGCTGGCTGTGCTGCAGTCCTTCATCAGAAAGCGACTGAAATACTTCGGCTCCCACCGGAATGACCCCAACAAGCCTGCGCTCAGCAACCTGTCCCCGTGGTTCCACTTCGGTGAGTGCCCCAGGCTTTGCAGTTGGCAGCACGGCTGAGCACGGTAGCTGGGACTGGCAGCCTGATTTCCTCCCTCCCCATGTCCCCAGGCCAGGTTTCCACCCAGAGAGCCATCCTGGAAGTGCAGAAGCACCAGCATAAGTACAAGGAGTCAGTAGACGTGTTTGTGGAGGAGGCCGTGGTGCGGCGAGAGCTGGCTGAGAACTTTTGCTACTACAATGAGAACTATGACAGCGTGCAAGGTAGCGTTCTGGTTTGGGTGGGCAGCACTGGGGCTGGCCTGGTACCCAATGGCTGGGCTGGTACCCAGCTTGGCAAACCCAAGACTGACTTGGAGAGGGGCTGTGAGGGCACTAATATGCTGCCATTCAGTCCTTCTGAAGGTAAAACAGGAGTTGGTAGATGCCCTTTTCAAGGTTGATGTCCCCTGGGCATAGTGCTCTTCAGTAGCTCAGTTCTCTATCTCTTCCCCAGGGCCCTGCAGAAGCTGGCTGCTCATCATTGCTCCTTATCTCTCTTGCTCACAGGTGCCTATCCATGGGCACAAACCACCCTGAAGCTCCACGCCAAAGATGAGAGGCCTTTTCTCTACAAGCTCCAGGAGCTGGAGCAGGGGACTACACATGACCCACTCTGGAACGCTGCCCAGGTACTGCCCCACATCTCCCTGACAAAATGCTGAGTCTTTTCCTGAGGGGCAGAGGTGAGGTGGCACAGACTGACCTGTCCATCTGTCCCTTTTCCCCCAGCTCCAAATGGTCCGGGAGGGCAAGATGCACGGCTTCCTGCGGATGTACTGGGCCAAGAAGATCCTGGAATGGACCCGCTCCCCAGAGGAGGCCCTGCAGTTCGCCATTTACCTCAACGACCGCTACGAGCTGGATGGGAGAGACCCCAACGGCTATGTAGGCAAGCAGCAGGATGGGGCACAGCAGGGGGGGTCTTATCTCTGATGGCCAAGGGCTGTGGCAGGGGGAAGGCTCTCTGCAGGCTACCCAGGCCATCCTGCTTTGCACCCACATCTCATTGCTCTCCAGATGCCTCCAAGCAGGGGCAATGCTGACGTTCTGTCCCCACACCCTGCAGGCTGCCTCTGGTCCATCTGCGGCATACATGACCACGGCTGGACCGAGCGTGCTGTCTTCGGGAAGATCCGCTACATGAACTACGCTGGCTGCAAGCGCAAGTTCGACGTGGGGCAGTTCGAGCGTCGCTATGCTCCCTGCACACTCTCCCAGTGACAGGCACAGCAGACTCCAGACTGCTTGTGCCCCTCTGCACTGGGGGCAGATGTGCCAGTGCCAAGGTATGGGCTCACACCTTACACCACAGCCGGGGATCACCACAAATGCTGTTGGAGGGCTCACTGTGATGGTGGCAAGCCCCGGGGTTTCACAGGTCTCTTACCCCCTGCTCAAGCTGCTGGAGCCCCATGGGCTCTCCAGGTCCCTCCTGCTGCCACATCTTCAGTGTGCCTCTGCCTGCCCAAAACCTCTTCTACAACCACTGTGTTTGGGCACAAGCCTAAGTTGCTGTTGCTGCTGCTAGTCACAGCTTAGATTTAGGCTGAGCAGGGCTTTTCTGGGGAAAAGCTCCTAGAAAGCAGCTCCTCCTGGTGTGCTGCAAGGCAGGGAAGCCTTGTTTTGCTCCATGGAGAGCTAGCGCTGTGCTTGCACAAGCATCTGTCAACAGTTGTTTTAAAGTTTACAGTTTGTATCTATCCATCTGTATATGTCCTGTGTGGTGTTTATGTGGTGATGCACAGCACTGCTGCAAGCGACAGAGATCCAACAATGGGACACCCAAGGCCATGCCTGCAAAGGCAGACCCAGGGAGAGACAGACCATACAGGGAGCCCCAGAGCGTACAGGGAGCCCCTTACTCAGTGTTTTGTACTTCCTGCCCTGAGCCCAGTGGGCAGTTTGCAAGGAGAGGCCACAAACCACATGGATTAGACCCAGTGACATCTGGCAACGCACTGCCAGTTGCACAAGTTGTCCCCCCTCTGCCCACTCCCTCCCTACCCCAGGGGCCAACAGGCACTGCAGGACTGACCCCAAGGGCAATACACACTGCTACAACAGCTGAAATGATGCCACAACAGAACCAGGCCCATCATTAACTTAGTTTATTAGGGATGGCATTTTTGTTGCCTCTCTGTGCAACAGTCCCATGGGGAGGGCTCCAGGTAATGGCCAGAGCATTCCCTTGCTCTCTCTTACAAAGAGCTCACTGCCTTGGCCACTTCCAGTGTTCCTTGCAATGGTGAGTGCTGGGCACAATCCTGCCCTGGAGCCCTCCATCGAGTTTGCAAGTCCCACTGCTTCCAAAGTCCACAGTGGAGGGTGGAAACCACAGATAATCCAAAATCCCTTCTCTCTTCTTTAAATGTACTCAGTGCTTCTAGAAGGGGACATAGGCAGCCTCTCAGCTGCTGTCCCATGACATTAAAGTGCTTCAAACAAAACAGGGTGGATGAAGGTGTGCTGCTGAGCCAGCTCCAGGGAAGGGGTGCCAACTCCGGGCAGCAGTGTGAAGGCCTGGCTTGCTGTTGAGGACAGAGAAGACAGAGGTGGACCAGCATCTGGCAGCCCCATGGCTTGCAGAGACAGACAGTGAGCAGGACAGCAGTGGCTCCCCTGGCAAGAAACAGAGCAGAAGCAAGACAGGAGGCAGCAAACACTCCAGGGAGTGTGTGGGGAGCTGAAGCCCCTTTCCCGGCTAGACCTGGCTTTGCCAGGATGCTGCGAGTCAGGGAGACATGCTGTTGTGCAGCAACGCTTCCAGCCACCCTCCTTCACAAAGTCCTGCATCCACCTCTCCTGGTCTCAGACTCTCTCCCTGACCCTGCCACCCCTGCAGGGATAGCCCATGAGGGGTCACACCCCAGCCTCAAGCCAGTGCTTGTGCTGCAAAAGCCATTGCCTCTAGATGCCTTCTGCCAGTGTATT